TATTTCTACTTAGATTATCGACCCGGATCTCCTACGTTTGCTAACCCCAACTGACTGATTTGCCAGGGGAGAACCATGCCAAGGAAGTGTAAAAATCGATGACAAGGTTGTTAGTCTGATCTGAGGAACCAGCCAGACATTCAGCCTGCAACAACACTCCATCTGAGGCCGCCAAGGGATCGCACTCAACACAATACCTAGGATGCATATGGCTGTTCCCTTGACGACACTCTCAAAGGGAGCTGTGGCATGAAATATGTGTTTGGGCCAAAGAAGGAAAAGCAGCCATTTTCACTCTAGATGCAGTCTACAAATAAAACTGAAGATGGGGCAACAGACAAGAAGAGCGACAGCTAGATTCTGGAAGGATCAGACATTATTAATATCTACGTCAGGCTGATTCAGATACAACGGCTTTGATGGTCCACGTCGTGAGGGTTGTTGAGGGGCATTTGTCCAGTTGCTTATTTTACGGTGACATCGTCGCGGGTGGTCGTAAACAAAGTTGGCAGAAGCTAAGATACAAGGACGGCCTGAAGGCCTCATTCAATCATCTGTACAGCACTCCAGACATCTGGGACAGCCTCGCACATGCCTCGGGATGAACTGCCGTAGGAGATAGAGTTGTGTACTGCTAACCCAACCGCATAGTCAGCACTAAGGTTAGACAGAGGCCGAGAGGAATCGAATGTCAGTGATCGGCCGGTGCAATCACAAAAACCCTGCCATCGTGTTTACATCGAATCCAGTTCGACGCTTGATGTGAAGATTCGAGCGCGATGAGGACAGGTCATGATCGGTGGTGGTGGTGATGGTGGTGGATCTGATACAGTTATCATCACCAGTGAGTGTACTCAAGTCATTCTGCCGACCGTCGCCCCCATCTCACTTCCCACCAACAGTGTGAAATTACTTCTAGACTGTTGCCCTTCAAATCTCACACCGGCCTCAACAGTCATTTGCGACATCAACAAACTGCAAATGGCAAACCAGCGCCTGCAGCTCCTACACACGTCCGTCACCTACACTTTCCATAAGATATTCAGACATCCGATGCACCTTTACGGCTATGTGTGTCTCCATGAAAATGTTCTCTAAAATAGCACAATTGAGACCCCATCAGAAAACACTGCCCTACCTGCGCAAACGGAACCCATCGGGCTACAGATGATCTAATAAATATCAGCTGCGTATCATACAACACTTATGCAAATGCGAGCGATGAGACGGGTCGTTGTCGGTATGACGGATGAGAGGCCACGCGTAATGCACTGTTGCGCCATCCTCGTTTGTGCAGTGGTGCACATCGCCGATTGCGGCAATTGAACCATACTTCTGGCGTTTACTCGATGGCTGACGGCCTATCCTGCGCCTGGAGAGCAAGCACTGCAAACTGCAGGATTTATGCACTGCCTCAGCATCCACCCACATCGTATGGGGACAGGCCTCGCTTTTTTGCATATGAACCCAATGGGAGATGAATAAAAACATCTCTCATGTCCCCAATCTCTGGACTGATAGGGAAGACATGTTTCAAACAGTCAGAGTCACAGATTGGACTGAATATGTGCGGATGAAGGTCACTTGCGCTAGAACGACATGAGCCTCATAAAGACGGAGTTTTCGGATGAACCACGCAGATGGAACGTGAAAACGTGCCAAGCATAGAGTAGTCAGAGGCACTGCAGTGAACGACATCAGTATAGTCAATGGGATTTCATTGTTAGAAGCCAGACTGACATGAGAGATTCACCCAGTCAACACGTGAACACGTGCTTGCGTAGACCAAATCACCACAAAACCGTCCATTCTCGTATAAGCAATGGCGTATGTGGGCGGGCACATCCTGTTTACACGAATAAATGCGCCAGCTGCCGAAATGTGTATAAAAGGCAGCAAATGCTGCGGATTCCTTCAATCTATAGGAGAACTAGCATGTCTGCAAACTGTTCAGGACTGTGGTGGCATCCTCTTCTTCTCTTCTCCCTCTTCTGCTTCATCGTTCTGCTGAATGCAGCCACCCCACAGGCGGCCTCAGTGGAAAGAATCTTATCAGACGAGCTAGAGGAGGCGGAGGCGGAGAACATATTCAAGACAGGGTTGGAGGAGGAGGTGGAGGGTGTGCAGGCGAATGCAGTCGAGGACGAGGCAGTTGAGGAGCCAGGACGGCCAACTAATCCACTCATGCCAGCCGGTTGGTGGGGACGCTTTCGTGAGCGTGTCAAACGATTTCTGCGAGGACGCGGATGCAGAGCAGGACGTTGCCGGCAGCCGACGCAGCATGTGAACATCGTCCGTATACCCTTTTAACTGTCCATCGGCCCAAATCTGCTTACCTTATTTTTATCACTTGCATACACGCAGATTTGAATAAATCAATTTTCCTATTTACGTAGCTCTTCACTCTGATGGATGCAGTAAACGGGCTGGGCTGTCAGACTATTAGTGCCCCCCGAGTCGAAATTGATATTTTGATGTTATTTAGCAAAATGCGCTAAAAATCCTATTCCTCGAATTTATATAATGCATCGTCCCCACAGTGATACATTTAGATTCATGAAGAGAGAATTCGGCAAGCTTGTATTTACTTCCGATAAATGCTCATCAGGCGCGAACAGGTTTATACAACGGTGTAAATTATAGCTGGTGGGTAATTAGAGTGATTGAGGTGCAATAGGGATTTCGTCTAGATGGAAGGCGTGGAACATGGGAGGAGGAGGAGGAT